GCAAACACTGAACTCATTCTGTCTGAGGAGAACAGAAAGGTGACATATGTGGAAGAGAAACAGTTGTATCCTGATCATCCAGACAGATTTGATGATTATCTTCAGGTGTTGTGTAGAGAGAGTGTGTGTGGACGCTGTTACTGGGAGCTGCAGTGGAGTGGACGTGTATTTATATCAGTGTCATATAAGAGCATCAGCAGGAAGGGATGGAGTGAGTGTGGGTTTGGATATAATGATGAGTCCTGGAGTTTGCGCTGCTCTTCCTCCAGATACTCATTCATACACAATAACATAGAGACTGATCTCTCTGTGAAGTCCATCAGCAGCAGAATAGGAGTGTTTGTGGATCACAGTGCAGGAACTCTGTCCTTCTACAGCGTCTCTGACACAATGAGCCTCATCCACACAGTCCAGACCACATTCACTCAGACGCTCTGTCCTGGGTTTATGGTTGGTTCTGGATCATCAGTGAAACTGTGTGATCTAACAGCAGAGATAGAAACCTGAGTCTGTGACTTGGACTCGAGTCGCACACAAGTCACAAAAAAACACAACTTGCATCTTGACTTGAATATCTGACTCGAGACGTGACTTAGATTTGAAGACAGACTTGTGAAAACACAAGCCATTTTGTGTCATGATCCCAGTCTTGTTTAAGGACTTCTAAGCTGAAGTGTTTTCTGTTCCCTTCCCTTGTTGCATTTGTTACCCTATTTGTTTCCATGGTTACCCCTCGTTTGTTGTCATGGTGATTCATTAGCTCTGCCCTCCTCATTATCTTGTGTATATAAAGCCCTGAGTTTCAGTGTTTGTAAGTCAGCTGTCTCCTATAAATGCCCATGTTCTTTGTTTCATGCTCTTGTTTTCTGGTTTTTCTGTTTATCCATATTTGATTTACCTTTTGTTCAGTGGTGTAGTCTAGTTTTTTGTAGTGAGTATACTGAGATTTTTCCCTCCCAGCCTCATACTCACCCGTCCCAGAGCAGCACCTCATAAGCACCAGCACCACCACACTCACTAAACAGGGCTCTACACTTACTTTTGTTTTTAGGAGCACTTGTGCTGCTGCTAATTTAAAGGGGTCATCGGATGCCCATTTTCCACAAGTTGATATGATTCTTTAGGGTCTTAAAAAAAAGTATATAACATAGTTTGGTTAAAATTTTTCAATGGTAGTGTAAAACAACACCCTTTTTACCCTGTCAAAAACAGCTCCGTTTTCAGCAAGCCGTTTTAGTGCATGTCCCTTTAAATGCTAATGAGCCTGACCCCTCCACTCTTCTACTCACAGATACTCACTTCTACTGTAGATGAAGCTGGATCACAAATGATTCGTGCGAACATAGACGCATTTAGGCAGATCGGGGGGCGCATTCCCTTCAAAAGCAAAAGTAATCCACTCAATCTTCAGCAGCTCATATGTCAGGAGTAAATGATGACTGCTATGTTCATTATTACATCCAACAACAGAACACCTCA